TGATTAGGTAACGTATGGAATTAAACAAAAGATTCAAATCAACATATAATTAACCTAGATATTATTAAATCTAATCTTTGAGCTAATATAATATAATTTAGGAACATTTTCGAGTACATTTGTAAATATTTATTATAATATTAGTTTCAAATAAATTTGTTTTTTTTTCCAATAATCCAAATATTTCGTGTAATGTTCTATACCTAGATATTTTTAAGAATTATTTTTGGTATAAGAAAATCTAAGTAGATTTAGATACTTTGTCATTGATCATCGAATTATGATGGAACATTCAAATATATTAAAATATAAAATTAAATGTTTCATGTAAGCTTTTCTAAAAGGTTATTGTGAATATTGATCAGGTGAAGCATGAAATCAGCGAGAAGATTCGAATAAACTTAAGATTGACCTAGATACCTGGCTTTATATTCTTACCCAGAATAGACAACAAAATGTAAAGATAATCATAACAATGATGAAATGCGTCTGATTTGTTGAATTCGAAAAGAAAAAACTGTAGGGTGTCGTCTTGGACTTTTGTTATGAATCCCACGATCGTGGGTCAGCGTGTGCGTGGGATTAGGTAATCAGGCAAGCAACGAGGTGTCCGATTTGCTTTCTAAAAGTGAAGTAGCCGATTCAGGGAGGCCCGAGCGGGTATTAATTAGTCACACAACACAGTCAATCTAATCCGAGACCCAATCTTATTTTAAATCGAAAATTTCGCAACGGCGAATTCGATTTCGGAAAGAACCGAACGCGAATATCGCATTGCAGCTCGTGAGGATTTCGGTGATTAGGATGGAGGTTAGATCGGCATGGTTAGATTGTTTGGTTGGTGTATTGGTTCAAGTTCGCACGAATATGAAATATTAATTTTCGCTTTGTGCTTGCTCTGTTGTACTTCGACATTGACCTCTTTCACCACATTGCTTCTAACATACAGGTATAACTGTACTAGGGGCATCGGGCAAGGTGCTATAGGTTGATCAGAGAAGTAAGCCTCCATTGATGGTGAAAGTAACGATACCTGAGAGCAATGTGTATCATCTACATTATTAATGGTATCCGAGTTCTTTTGGCAGCGACTTTAAGTTGGTTAAGGTGGAAATGAGTGACAAAGTCATACCGAAATATTCGCCGCTCGCAATACTTACGTCAGGAGAGGAGACCCATGCATATATATATACACATATGCCTGGCCGACTATTGCTAGGCCGCTTGACCCATTTGCGAATCCCAAATTCAATTGTGACTATTTCCAATGAAAACAATTTTCGTTCAAATTTTTCAGAACTAATTAAACCTGGCCACAGTTTTGCACAGAACGAAAAAAAAAATAATGAGACGCATGCATGACACGGTTTAGAATTTTTGCCTCCTCTGACCTTGATGTACCCACGTTAAATCGCACTTTAATAGTGTAAAGTTTTTTTTTCCTTCTCCGAATGACACTGAATTTCATACCCAAACCATCTCTACTTTTTTGTTATGTTTATTACTTTTCTTAAAATGCAACGTGTCCTTGTAGTTTTATTTTTACCGTTTCCTTTAATAAAAAGTATTTTCGGTTTTAATATAATTTCTTAACACATATCTACCCTTTATAATATATAAAAAAAATGTTCAATAAAACAAGATTATTTCTTACGTAATTCATTAGAGAAAGATCAATTAATTAGTAATGTTTCGAGTCAGCTGATCTACGTTGATTTAGGTTGATTGACAAGATCACCATGAATATTGATTGATCAGGTGATGTATGAAACCAGATTAAGATTAACCTAATATTATAAATTTATTAATTCAAATTACGAAATTAGAATATTTCAATAAAATTATTTTTTTTGTAATTTTTATTATAAATATGAATTTTAAATGAGACAAAAATAAACTTAACGTTAATTAATTTTTGAAAAAAGAATAAACAGTTGTAAATCATTTTTTTTTAATTTAATTTCCTTTTGTTCGGGTTTACGTAATTGCAATTAATTGGTAGTTGTTAATATGTATACGTGCATAAACACTGCCTGTTGCTGTACATGCATATATACTTTGTTCCTCAAACAACGTGAAGCTATTACATTCAACGCACTGCAATTTAATTGAGTTAATGACACACGAATTTTGTAGCCGAGGACTTTCGGTTGTGACAGAAAATATGACAACTTGCAACTCCCAGATTTGGTCTGGGTTCCTAAGTAAAACGTATTTACAACACTGAAATAAACCAAATTGGGAACAATTTATGCCATTTAAAACAGTTTAATGGTCGCGCAATTGACTGATTTGCGAATGTACAAGTGGGTCGAATTCGTCTTATTCATTTATTTTATGCTAACCATTGACGTTTTAAAAAAAATACTAAACAAATAAAACCTTATATAATAAGTTGCACTTGAGATGATGCACATCGCTGATGTCCATAACATATGTAACTATAGAGCGTCCTTAGCAACGATAGCGCGTCCTTAGCAACCATAGCGCATTTTTAGCTACCATAACGCGTCTTTAAATACCATAACGTGTCATAACCATGACAATTGACAACGTCTTATTCTTTGGTGCCAACAACGTAAAAGTTCTTTTGTTTTAATTGTATAAATTCAGTTATTTCATTCGTATCTAAATTAGACGGAATCATTGAATAATGAAAATTCATGCTTATTGAAAAAAAATATATATATGTAAATAATATGATGGAATTATAAATTCACAATATTAATTAACAAAAATTTCGTTGATTTTCGAAGGTTAAATTGCAGTAAAACATATATATGTATATGAGTATCCTCCAAACAACAAGCGAATGTGCCTCATATTTATTCGTTTGTTTATTAAAAACAATATTTCGCTTTGATTTCTGTTTTGTTTCGAGCTCGAAACCCAAACGAGTAAACACACGTGATTCACGTTCGCGTTTTATTTGGAATCACGTATTTTTACGCGAGCGGAAATAAAGACCATAATATTTACTCCAAGATCAGCAAATTGTTTCATCCGATTATTTCTAATTTAACCATGAACAAATTTAAATTGATTCATATAAAATACAAAAAAATATTAATAAATAATAATATGAAATCGGATTTTGGTTAATATATTGAATGGAAATAATAACAATAATAAAAAAAAATGCGACGAAAAGCGACCTACTTGACCCATTTGTGAATTGCTCAGTTATATTATGTTGGACGTTAAATGTCGCGACGGCCGCGAATCTTTTTATTTATTTATTTACTCACTTATTTATTTACTGATCCAATGGTTTATTTATAAATTTCGGAATTAATTGGCTTCTTGCAACCCTTGGCCCTATGCCAAGCCGTCCATTGTGTGTGTCGTTTTGATGCTATGGCAAAAATACCACCTTCATCTACCTTGTTCCGCCTAAGATACACACCAAGAACGAAAAACACATGCACACATGTACGAATCAGTGTGAGAGCGCAAACGC